CTCCCATTCTGTGCCTCAGGGCCGCGGCCCCGGCCCCGCAGGGACCCGCGCGGAGCGAAGAAGCGCTGGCGGCGGATAACGGCTGCGGCCCCTCACCCCCCCCCAGGCCCCGCTCGGATACACGTTGAGGCGCTGGCCCATGTCCTGGATGAGGTTGGCCGCCTGCTGCCGGTACGAAAGCTCCTTGTCGGCCTCCACGCCGCAGCGCCGCGATGGCGTGTTCTCCAGCTGCTCGCGGCTGAAGAACCAGCGCGACGCCACCGAGGAGCCGCCGCCGCCGCCCCGCGATGAGGAGCCCGCGCCTGAGCCCGCCGCCGCCATGACACTTCCTCCCCCTCCCTCCGCGGCCCCGCCCGCCGGCGGCAGCGCCGCGCCCGGCCCCTCCCCCTTCCCCCCCTCCCCTCCCGCCCTTCGCTGCGACTCTCGCGAGAACCGGCGCGCGGCCGGCCCTACCGCCCCCGGAACGCCAGCCCCGGCCCGCCGGGGGGCGGGGATGCTCCGGCACGCGGAAGTGACGCCGCGGTCGCCCGGCCCCCTCCTCGGCATTGGTGGGCTGCCGAGCGCCGATTGGCTGCGGCGCGGCGGCGGGTGCGCGAGGCGGGGCTCGCGCTGGTCCCTCAGCGGGGCGGGGCCGGCAGCCGCCGGTGTTTGAAAAATAACGGACAAACCGAGCTTGTTTGGTGTGGGTTTTGTTTTGTTTTGTTTTGGTTTTTTGTGTGGTTTTTTTTTTTTTTTTTTTTGGTGGTAATTTTTTTTTTTTCAGGTGTGAGGGGAGATTGTCCCAGCTCTCGGGCTGCGGCCGGCAAACCAGGGGCGTGGCGGTGCAGCTCCTCGCTCCTCCTGAAGTTTCGCCCTTGCCAGGCTTCTCTCGTGGCTTGTCGTGATCCCCGCTGGTAATTTAGCAGAACGAGGGGAGCTGTTTGGTTTAGAGCCGTTGAATGCGTGCTTTTTACTCAGTATCTCTCCGGAGGAAGCAGCGGCCGGCAAGTCGGGGTTTTGTGCCCCTGTGCCGGCTCTCTGTAAGGGTTCCTTCCAGAACTGGAGCTGCTGTGGGGAACATCCCCCGCGGTGGCATCTCGGGCTGGCCGTGTCCTCCCGGGCAGTCAGCGTTCAGCTGAGGACATTGACGAGTTGAGGCAAATGGCCTCTTGTTTTGCTCAAAACTTCCTTGTTTCAATAAAGACTTGTAGACCGTTTCGACCTAGGTTATTTCAAGGGATCCCATTTATTGCCTCAGGTGTAGTACATGGCAGCACGAACAAGGGAGCAGAATCTGTCGTATGCAGCTGGGGTGGGAGAGGATAACAAGGAACATTGATGGGTAGAAGAGTTACCCCTCCTGAAGGTGCAGGCTATGCCGTGTGATTAGTTCTGAAATTCCCTGATGGTTCTTAGGAGTTGGCACCCCCTTCCTCCTTAGAACTAAGTGAATCTCAGTCTCCCAGCATGAGTGCCACTAGTTGTGCGGCATCCATTAACTTGTAGGGTTTCAGAGGCAATTTAAGGTCTACTCCCAACAGAGTGAGCCCTAAGCATTAGCCACAGGGGATAGCTGTGGAGTTAGGATGACAAGCTAGAGCCAGGGCTCTGGACCTTGGCTGCGAGGGGACCCCGCATCACCCATGTGCCACATCCTACCCAGAAACCATGATCCTCCCATGCTTGGCTGCCTTTCTGGTCCTTGCAGGTTTGAAATAAGTTATATGGGGGGCACCAGAATAAAAGAATGTGTTTTAAAGCATAAAATACGTGGAAATGTTAACTGTGTTGGAAAGAGTAAAGAGCTGGGAATAGAGGGTGCGGAGAGAAGGTGGAAAGGTCCTTCAACTATTTGAAAGCATTCATTCCGCAAGAAAAATGTCAAGATCATGAGGAGCATGCTACGCCTGTAATTCTCTCCCTGGTACTGGTAGTAGCAAACATCTAGGCAAAGCATTCCTCTCGTAAGTGGCAGGAAAGCTTATGAATCACACAGCAATTCCTGCATCTCAAGTGTATGGTGTATATGATAATCACACCTATATAAGCAATAACTAACTTCTACAGGTAGTATTTATCAGGAATTCATTGCCAAAAAGGCAGAATTAAAGCTGTCCTGTGATACCTTGTGTCCTTCCAGATTACTCTCCAACACATGGAGAAGATGCATACGCTCACACCATACTGAACAGGAACTTGTCTGAACCTCTCCTGTGTTACACTTCAGCTACCTTTAAGAATTAAGATCACTTTCTAAACTTTTTGCTCATTCCAATTTCACCCTTAGATGATAATATGCTACCAAACGTTACTTTTACATGGCTCCCATTAAGCTTCCAACTCATTCCCAGGTGAACGCAGGTGCCCAAGCAGTGACACAGCCTACATGGTAAAGCGCTGGAATGAAACATCCAAACTTCTGTCTCTTACCGCTTTGGGGTAAAGAAATGCAGCCTTCTATCTTCCCTTCAGGAAACTACACAGCCCTCCTAAATTTCCTTATGCCTCAAGCACAGTCTACTCAGCAACTCCATTTAAATATATTTTAACACCTGCTATAACGCAGCTTGTGGATAGTTCTCACCAGGCACTCGCACAGGAGAGAAAACTTAACTGCTTTACCTACTCAGTTACTGATTTTCAGCAGTAGCTTGAGATTACTGGATTCAGAGTTCAAAGCCTATGAAAAGCTACTTATCTTTACTTAAAGTTCTGATCATCATAGATCAAAATGAGAGCTTCTCATGTTTATCATATGCCACTAGCATTCTACAGTGTTTTTTCCCACCTAAAATTACAACTAGTTCTTTTACAACTTTGGTGCAAATTTTCTACACACAATTTTCTAGATGGACCCAACAGAATACTAATGAGATACACGGACGTATAATGCAGCATGGACAGACAGACATTACTTGCCTGATCTTCCCAAATGTAAATCATCATTAAAATCTTGCATGTGCAGAGGAAATTTAGCTACAAAGACTTCTGTTGTAATTAGGAGCTGATCTTTGCCTTTGTATTTTTGTGCCTTTAGCAATCTCAAAGTGTAATGTTTTAAATCGCTGTGTAAAACTCATGGAGTTTGGGTGTTCAACTTACATTTTTTATTCCTTCAGTAATTGGTGGAAGAGTATTAAGAATTATCTCGTCTGATTTTGTGATTATAATTTTGCAGTAGCTTTGTTAATGAAAAAAAAAGGAAGATGTAGGGAAAATTATATGCACCACTGTCTTAAAAATCTTAACACATCGAGAATAAGTAGAATATCATTAAATACTGACAGTGCATAATGAGTATGATTCATGCAGGGTATGCACATTAATTAATTGCCATGCAGAGTGCTGCAATCACCCATTCAGTCACAGGTTAAGGTAATTAAATACTGTTCTTGCTATTTGAAGAGGTTCCAGGCCTTGGTCCCCAAAGATGTAACATTGCATTCTCACGAACTTAACTGGTTTCATTTGTAAAAAAAAAAGAAGAATTAATCCAATTAAAATGTATTGGAGAAATTACAATGTATTTTCCTCTTCAATCCATTTAAACATCTGTGAAAATCAAATATGCTGAAGGAAAAGAATATTATATAAGAACAAAGTTGCCTTTCTTCTACTTTGAAATGTAATTAAAACAATCTGGTTGAAAACCTGTACATTTAAGTAGCTCAATGCTTGCATGTAGATATTTAAATAAAAAAGGTCAGCAGAAGTCTTGTGAACCTAAGGACAATAAATATTGTTAAAGTTATTTTATCTAGGTCCTCTTTTCCTCTTACATGGAAACCTGATACTCCCAGGATCTACACCTGTGAGCCACTGTCTACTTCAGCTTCTGATGTCCAGTAGTCTCTTATGGAATATGTTTGGAGAGCAATATAGTAAAGAGCCAAATGCTAGGAAAACATATCATTAACCTGCACAAACAACTTTTTGTTTTGTTTTGTTTTTTGGCACTGTAAAGAAGGACAAAGCCTTCTTTGTAGTCCAACAGAGGCTGGTATCAGAGGGATGTTCAGCATCCTTCAGGTTCAGTCTGACACAGAAGGACAGTTATGGACACAGCTACAGAAACAAATTCTGTCTAATACTATTTTACCTGGAGTGTTCTAAGACTAAACAGAAGAACGGTGACACCACACGCAGCCAGCAAACGATCCCATGAGAATGGAGACTGTAAGCGCTCATCGGCATTTTTCTAACTAGTATAAAATACTCTCAGGAGGAGGATGCCTGTCCACTCACTGGACAATCATGAAAACCCATTTCAATCAATAGTCTATAAAGTAAACCATCTTTCCATTCCTATGGCAGGACTCAAAGTAGATGCAGCATTAACATTTCAACATTTAAAGTAACCAACCTTACTTGTAGGAAGTATTTTTTAAGGAACAGGACATTGAACCGTACTGCTGCTGAACACTCGTATTTATTTTGACATTGACAGTGATGCACAAAGTATTATCCAAATACATGATTTCTGCACCTACAACCATAATGTTCAAATTGTTTCTGATTAATGAGTTGCCAGTGGTGTAGACAGCAACTAAAAAGTACAAGTCCCCACATAGACCCTTTTCATCCTCTCTCAACATTCACAAAGCGTCAGTGCACATACTTGCAGTGCTGAGCTGAAGTGTGGTATGCTGCAATTTCAGTCAGTGTGTGAAGGCAAATGTTGCCTTTTATTGCACATCAAAAACATTCTCCTTAAATTCTGTTTTAGGAATTCTTTTAGATTCTGTTTTTTGGGCACAACAAAGACTGAAATGTAGTGGATACAAGTAATAATTTTCTCAGTTCTTTCTTTCTGGGAATCAAGTCCTAATAACATGACACTTATTATCCTTCAGAGGTTCTTATTACAACTGCAGAAGATTAAATCTTTCTTTTTTTTTTATGAAAGCAGGGATTTCAGAATTGTTTAAAGACAATTTAAATCCTCCAATGTACAGAAATACCTGTGCATACTTATTTCCAGTACCCTTGCTTTTATTTTGGAAACAACAGTAGGCTGTAATATACTTGTCAAATTTATTTTTCATCTGTATAATTGCACATGCAAGTAGAAGTATCCCTAAGGATACAGCATTATTTCCTAAGTTTGGTCTCTTTAATATCTTTAAAATTATTCAAATTTTTTTCTGCTAAGACCCAAAAATTCCAGAGCATTTCCAGCCTTGAGTTTATCCTGTAAAAACAAAACACATATATATGTTTGTGTGTGCTTAATTCATCTTTTACTCAAGTGCTCTTACTGGTGCTTTAAAAAAAACTTCTGCAAAGAGACTGAAGGGCCTCTTCTAGTCTTTGCAGAAATCAGTGTACTACACTGATTTTTCAGTGTTTTATGTCAGCTCTAAAACCAGGGGCCTAAAAAGGAGGGACCACCCCCCACCCCCCCAAATATAAAGATCATACCTTCAGTTTATTGTCAAAATCATCCATTGAATCAATCAATTTTCCAGGTTCCAGTTCCCCCAGTGGAAAAGGGTAATCTGTCCCCAAAATAACTTTGTCCTGGTAATAAAAAAACATGTTGCACATTTTGTAGTAACATTAAACAATATAGTTGCACATGTTTTCTGGAATTTATAATAAACCCCTGGAAATTACATGTATATATTGGACTGATTAATTACAAAAGTGAAGATGAAGATAATCTTCGGGTTCCAACTTTCATTAGGAAAAAATAAAGCTTGAAAACAATGACTCAGGAGTTAATTGTGTGAATTTAAGTTTGAAAAAAGTACAGGTTATTTGTGAGTCATTTTTGTGGCGTCTAAAGTTTGGTATGTTTTTATTGGACAAAGAAAGTTCAAAATGCAAGTCTCAGGCCCATGGGGATGAGTGTATATGGCTCAGGTGAATACAACACAAATGGTAATTTCCTACTCAGATTGATTTTCTGTACTGTGGTGCTGGTTTGAACTGTAACAAAAAGGCATCTATTGTTCTCCTACACTACTTGTGCTGCTTCTGCAAGTAGGTTGCCTAAAATGCAGTGATTAATCTTGTTTAAGCGTTGCCATAATAAAGTGGCCAGTAAAGGATACATAGAAATGTTCCTTCTGTTTCTTGACTTAATTTTTGTTTCTTTGTCATGCTGATTACATGCTCTGTGCTGTTGTGTGCAGTCCAAAATGAGTATAAGATTTTTTGGCACATTTCTTTAACAATCTCAGGAAGTTCTCCACCAAACTTAGAAAAGATGCTTGGATTTGCATTCCTGAATTTCCTGAAATTCTTGACTACACACACATAGAGAAACTTAAAATTATATATATAGAAAAGAACGTGTAATAAAAGCTAAAAAGCAATGAAAATTATCTTTTGTGTGACACTTTAATGGCTGTAGTAATTGCAATGTGATACTCCTTAAAGCATGGTGCAATGTAGAATTACTACAAACACTTAAATAATAATAATAATAAAGTATTTAATTTAACTACTCTGCAGCTTCAGATAACAAAACCAAAATATCACTTACAGAATTGCAAATATTTTTGGAAGTCTGTAATTTTTTTAAAAACAACATTGTCTTTAACTGGGGTTGGATATTAGCTGTGCATTTGAAACATGTATCTGAGAATATTAATGACATACTAGGATTTGTTTTGGAAAGCAAGTCAGTGAAAAGAAAATTCAATAACAATCTGTATGCATCATTCCTGTTATCAGAGGTGAAAAGAAACCAGCAGAATTGATCCTCAATAGGTCCACATTGTTAGAAGTTCAGTTTCACACTGGAATGATACTTCTCCATTTTATCTACCTTGGAGAGTGCATATTGCCCACTCTCTCGAGTTTATCAAAAGTCTATTTTCCTTTAAACTTCATCTCTTGGGGACATTAATATTTGAAAACCACAGTTTTCATTAAAAATACGTGTTTTTAAAAGTCTCATGAATTTGGAGTCAAGCTCATGAATTTGGGGCACTTGTTATAATATTTGAACTCAGTTACCAATACTGAAATAGGATGAAGGAAACATAATTCCGTTATTTTATGAAATGATTCGGTTTTGTCAAATGCTGCTTTATTTTTATTTTTTTTACTTCCAGTAGATGTCACCAGAGAGTCTCTGAAAGAACCTATACAAAACCTTACATGAAATCCAAATAGAAGGTACACGTTCTATTGTTCCATCCTATAGTGTTGTGTTACAATTTTTTATAGAAGTCTTGCCGTAATATTATAATTGGAGACTTTATACCCTCAGTATACTAATCAAGTTCTGAATGTAGATTAAACAAAATATATTTGGATGTGTGTACTTTTAAACAGCTACATGCATTCTTTTATTTATAATATTCAGTCTGATACCAAGACATTTTCTTAAGATACGAAAAGCAATTGTATGCCATGTACAAAAAATCCCCCCAACCAATAAACATACTAGGCTTATATGAGAAAATGGATTTCTAAGCAAAGTAGAAGGAAACCCAGTAGTTGCCCAGCCATTTATTAGTCAAGGTTAAGTAAGCGAGGAAGGTTTGTACTTTCTTGTTTGCATCTCCTATATATCAAATGAGAAAGAAATCCCACACTCTCATTGGAATAATTTATATATTATTTCAATTACGTTTTTATTTTCTTCCAATTTAAAGTGTTTCACAGCTAATCACGGGATCTAATAATTATCAGTAAAATTAAGAGCTGTAAATTAGTAAGAAAAATTTAGAAGCAGCATTACTGCTCTGCTACTAGTGATCTTAGGCTATTTGTTCATATTCTTTGAGCTTCTGTTTTGTACCCATCTATAAAATGGGGATTGCAATACCCGCCTTTAGCAACCAGCCTCACAGAAGTCATGTGAAGTCTCTCCACATAAATAATACTCCTAGCATAATACATGTATTATTGCATTATTCCAAAGTATATCAACAAAGTCAGTTTTCCCTAGAGAACTTATAGATCAAGACCTTAACTAGTGCGTCTCTCCTTTTATAAAGTTACATATGGCTAATGGTTAAGCTCAGTGGACCCTTCTCCTCAACAGAATTTTTCACAGTAATAGCGACCTGATTCTTAAAAAGAATCTCAAAAAGCATCAAGCATGAGTTTTTCCTCTTTTATTAGTAGAAAATGTATTTGCCTTGAATCTCACCTTCTTTCCTACTATCAGGATGCATCTCAAAACAAGGCCAGATCGCTATAGTCAGCTCAGCTCCAACTTCTGGCCAGAGAATGTTTCACCTTTGGGGAATGGCTCTTGAGGAATCACCATGGGGAAGTTTTCACAGAGATACACTGAATCATTAAATCCCTCAGCCCAGTTCTTCACTTTTTATAGCCAGCATCATTAGGGATTTTTGATTATTTACATTTACTCTATGCTACCTCATCATGGGGGGAGCGTAGGGCTGAGAATTTTGTAAGACTGCAAAATTGCTGTTCTCAGAAAAGTGTATTTCTTCTTCCTTTAACTGGGATGGACTCCAATTAACCTGCACCCAAAACTAAGAAGGGATGAAGTTAAACGTACATGACTCATCACAGCTGTCACTGGATTTTAGTATTCATAAATTCAAAGCCAACACATTACATTCTGATGCCAGGTAATGGCCATTCCCTAAGGACCTGAAGCCATGCCTAAGCACATCTTCACACACACTGATGCCCTTCCTGCACAGCTCTTAGCTATACTCTAGAGAGCTGTTCTATTTCAAACCTTCAGCTTATAAAGTTACAGTGTCATCCTCAAGACCCAATCACATTGGTTTTAGCCCAGCATTTATTCATCTTATATGTGTTCTTCTGCCAACACATGACTGCACTGAAAACACAGATAATTGGTGTTTTTTTAAGCATTTGACTCATGGAATGGTATTATGTGAAAATATCAAATTTCAATAGAAAAAGAGGGAACATTTTAGTCTTCATGGTTATAAAGTGAAGTCTGACAATGTGATGTGAATATTGTGGTTTTTTTTCAAGGATAAGGTGCCTTAGTCTATGAAAAGGAGAAAGAAAATGTACTTTTTTTTTTTTTTTTTTCCAAGTTCTCCTGTTAAAAGCATTTAAGTTTTGGGGATCTGACTCATGACTTTTCAGCACTGGGTTTCCACCTGTTGTCACATTGCTTGAGCTCAAAATACTCAGAGGAGAATTAAAGAAAACATCAAGATCCCATGTAAGAACTGGTCAAATTTATTGCGTTAAGAAACTTAATTTTAGAAGTTTGGTGACAATATAAGCAAGACACCAGAGAGGCTATTGCTGAGTGACTTTTAGATTATTGAATTAGAATCCATAACCAACCTCCCCTCAAACAACTAAATTTCAGTTGCAAAGACTAATTATCATTCAGGGCCAGAGTCTACATGTTGCTGCTTACAAAATTTTAAAGGTAGAGAAGTTACAGTTCAAGCGTGGTGCAAAGACAACAGCATTCCCACAACAGCCACAGCTTAAAGCAGCCTTGAGATGCAAAGCGAACTTGTTACTCTAAAGCAGAACTGTTCAAGACTTGCATTCTATACAAGTTAAAACAGAAAACAAGTTGTCAGCAATAGATTGAACATCCTGTTGTACTTTCTGTCCTGCTTTGCTCTTGACATCTATAGTTCAGCTTAAAACCGGTATCAGACCAGAAAAAAGAATCTGTGAGTCTCAGCGTGCTGAGTCACACAGCTTCTAATTTACCAAGGTCTTTCTAACAATGGCAAAACATGTCTCCCAACATTTTGAAATGAAAAAAAAGAAAGAAATGAGCAAGTGATCTTGTCTCCTTGGTAATAAAAAAAGTAATCTGATCACCTAAACACAGCAATTTGAAATTCAAGAGCTAGACTCATCCCTGCTATATTATAACTGCATGTAGAATGAGAATATGCTTAGGATGAACATGGTCTAGATTTGGGGAGACTTCTCAGAAAACGAGATAACTGGAGGCAAGTGTTGAACTGTTACTCTGTAAGTCTTTGAGTATCTTGTAAAAATGGAAGTGCACATCACATCTGGCAAAAATTTTAAAATCTATTGTAAAAACTACTTAAAGCCACTTGATTACTGTAAACTACAGTTAGATTCAAAAGGTAATGCACAGTAAAATGTCCTGGACTGTTGACTGTGATATATTTACTATTTAGAGGTTGGTTACAGAAATTAACAGTAATCAATAGTGGGCTAGAGCCCTAGTATTTTGTTAGTAACCTAACTGGTACCTAAAACTTCACCCCTGACACAGAGATCTCTCCATCAGTGTCCACTAGGACTAGCACTGCCAAAAAAAAAAAAAGCTATAACCTGTCTATATGTACAGAAATATCTTGGTAAACACCACCCGAGTTAATACTGATGTTATAAGAACTTTCCAATCCTAACAGCTTATTAGCAGGTCTTTTGACAAGTAAACTGACTTGGGTTTTATCTGACTTGTTTCTAACAGAACTAGGCTGCATGGTAGTTTCTTTGCATGTTTTATGGGGCTCCTGTCATAAATCTACTTTTGGTTTGTGGTGGATTTAAGAAAGAGGTATTTCCTCTCCTCTCCTTAGTGCTGTAGTGTTATTGTGTGTACATATACACTTTATAAAACCTTTCTACAATATTGTTTCAAGCTGTAGTTGTGCTCTCACATTGTTGACTTTTTCATGAATTTTCAAATGCAAAGTTTTCCTAAAAGGCTCGAGTACTGTAAGGGAGCTGCAGGCAGAAGTCCAGTCTCAAAGCTACTGATTTCCTGCACAGCACAGACCGAAACCCCATGGATTTCAAAGGGTTGAGACCTGGGCTCAGAGTACCACATTAAAAAAAGCAACAGATCTGCATTATTATTTTTGGCTGGCCTAGGTGAGCCACTTCTGTACCAGTTCTAGCACAGATTTAGTTCAGTAACCTGTTCAGACTGTTAGAGATGAAAATGGGAAATCAGCAGTATCTTTTCTGTAGAGAGAAAGAAAATATTCAGCTTAGCTGTCTTTGTGAACTTTGGTCACAAAAGTTCTCATGACAGCAACAGCCCCATATGTGAGAAAATACTATGTGAGCCTAGAAACTAATGTACAGGAAACAGGAATACAGTTGTTGATACAAGAAAGTTGATGTCAGAACTTGCATTTCTGTTTCTGACATCTAGTAGGTACCTGCCTGCCAGCTGCAGAAACTCTATGAGGTCCAGAGATCAAGACAGAAATACAGGTCTCTTGATTTGTGGTGATTCATTGGAAGTTGGCATGAGTGTTGCCATCTTCAACACCTTCCTGGTCACTTACTAATGAGAAAGAACTATTTTAGTGGTTTTGGATTTTTCTGCCCCAAGCTGTACGTGATATAAACAGGTTGCTAAACTAAAAAGATTTCTTTGCTCTCTAACAATTTAAATATTTTTGCAAACTCATGATGTTTAATGTGCTCTCCAGAATCTTCACAAAAACGTTATTATTTTTTTCTGCCTATAACTTCCCAAGTGGAAATACAGTTTTATTTCTTCAAGTATACACTTGAATTTGAAAATTAACCCATCTGAAAACAAAGCTGTAAATGAAGCAGTCTTTACTTGCAGTCCCACCCTGAACAACCTTACACAAGGAACTAGCTTCACTGAACTAAGGCTCATAGTGCATGATTTCCTGGATTAAAACCACCATTTCAATAACGCCATATAGTAAAAACATTATCAACATGGCAGAAGCTCATCGGTTTATAATAGCTCAGGTTCTGATTTTACTGGGTGAATATGCTGTCTTCTTCCTGCTTTCTTCTTTTCTCCTTTTGCTATTTCATAGAAAATTAATTAAATGACTCACATGCTTCTGGAAGCACTAAAACTCACCTCTCCTATTACATTTGTTAGCAGCCTTAGTGCATCACGATCATGGACAAGAGAGTCTGTGTAAAATGAACCAATATATTTTCTCGGATCAACCTTATTATCCACTGCACACAAATCAGGGCGCATGTTGAATCCATGGGAGATTCGCCCCACTGTGTATGGAAAAGCTCCACCTGCAAGAAATTTTTCATAACAGAAGCTGAAAATATGCAGGAGGAAAAAAAGCCACATTATCAACAGAGATCTGTAAGTTTTACTGTCAGTTATTTCAAAAGAAAATGCTCTGCACCAGCAATTTTGTATTCCTTCCCCTTTGTTAGCTTCTTTTTCTGTTTTCCCACTTCTTCACTACTGTGATGCCCAAATTCCTCCTGCTGCTTCCTCATTCCTTTCCCCAAACCATCTCCTGTCTTTCCTTCCTCCTCATGCCCCCTAAAGGGCTATTGTAACAGTTCAAACACTGGCCCAAACAGGCTAGAGTATGTTCATATAAGCAGTTGCTCTGGCAGATTATCTTCTTTGGGGTAATAGTACTCAGCTGGTGGCAGGTTTAAAGTGGTAACCCTACTACCTGCATACCAGATAATACAACTGTACCATGCCCAACTAAAGAACAGGTGTTTTACATGGTACATTACTTACCTCCATGTGCAAAGCAAACTTTCAGTTTAGGAAATTTTTCAAAAATTCCTCCCATAATCATGGAGCAAATGGCTATGGTTGTTTCTGCAGGCATGCCTAAGAACAAAAAAACCTTTATTGTATGACAGTTTTATTTTTTATTTTCCTATTTGAGTTTTAAATGTTATCTTAATTTTCTTCAATTAACCTTAAGCCTACTGAAGCATTAATAGTTACTGAGCAGCCAACCACAGGTTACTCATTATTTCTATTAGAGGAACGCAGAGCTGAACATTAATTAACTGAAATGAGGACACGGGACTGGAAGCTAAGATCTTCTGAATTCTAAGTCTGGTTTTTATCCTACACCACTAGGACAGCTGACAAGCAGGTTGGGTATGTCCTGAACTGCACAGTAGAGGCTTGATTCCCCAGTTATCCTAGCTCAAAGACAAGTCTGGAATATGCCAGGTTCTTTTCTCACCTGTGCTTCTGGGTGTCTTCTGTGTGGAAAGTGGGGCAGATATGTTGGAGAATATTCCAACACAGATTTGGGGTTCAGTTATGACATGATGCCAGTTCCTACAGTTTAGAAATAACGTGTCTCTCTCTTTGCCACTGAGTAACTTGGATGCCCAGTGTTAGAAACATAACAGCAGTTTAAGTTCTTACATCAGGTCTCAGTTTCTGAGCACACCTAATGTATTTAGAATATCATGCCATTTAGGTGCCTAACTTCAGACATCCAACTTGAAATTAGGAACTGAGTTCACCTTATCTATGAGGAAAGCAATACCTATCCAGCATAAAAGGTTATCTTCCATTAATGTTTTACCATATGCACAGATGCAAAGCCATATTAGGCCTAGTAGGAAAATCTTTCCATTATACTTTGTTAAGTAAATGCAATAATTTTAGTCTGTCTTTAAATCTGTGTTATTGAGCCTGCTCTGATTAAGACTAATTCATATTGTTTTAAGATAATGCCCTGGTGATCGGGACACTAAGATTTTCCGGTGTATACTGCAGAATGTATAATATATGTATATTGTGTATGTTTTTCAGAACACCTATATTGGAGGCAGTGCAAAACCATGCAAAACAAATCAGTGCAAAACAGAATGAGTGAGGGTGGAATCAGGTCTAAACATTTCTAGGTAGCAGTATAACCTACCTCATGTTATCCAATGTTGTTCTGATTTACCTAGCAGATGGGGAAAAAACCCAGAGCTTTCAAAGTACATGTTGTTTCAGCTATAGTTGATGTGAACTTAAATTTATTTCCTCTCTGATCAACCTATTTCTAGGAAATAACCCAATAAATTCTTTCAAGTAATATTTGGTTTTGCCTACTCCTTCATTTACTCGCATTATGTTTGAGGAGCTAATTTCAGAGACTTTTCTTATTTGAGGAGCTCATTTCAGATGACTTTTCCCTAGTCATCTGCTCTTTGTATTTAGGACAAAAGAGAATACTTAGATTCGGTTGCTAGTCTGAATAATTTTAATTCTAGGTATTTAACAGTTAGACAAACTAAACAAGCTTAAAAACAAATGACTACTGATTTTACATAACAGATTTAATAGTAGCACTTGATTAAAAAAAAAAAAAGATTGATAGAAAAATCATGTTGTTTTTCTCTGTACTAGTACCTTTGCAGCAATCTTCTGGGCATAATCCAGTAACAGTTCATAAATGTAGATTAAGCAAAATAAATACACACTCACCTATTAGCCAGGGAAACCAATATTTGGACATCCTTCCATCTATCTGCATGTCCCAGGGATGCACAAAGAGACAGCAATTTAATTGTTCAGCAGCCTGTAGCAAAAAGAAAAAAAATCTAAAACTTGACTAATCATACCGAAATGCATCTTAGTTCTTAGCCATGTTTTAAAGATTACTTGCAAAATTGTACTAAGCATTAGTACTAATAATGAAAATAGGCCCAGAAGTAAGAATAATAAGCAATAGTTAGTTATATTTACTCCTCTGGGCCATATCCTGAAGTCCTCACTCAGTTTCAAAGTTATTTTTGAGACTACAGGATTGGAAACACTGATGATAATATCGTTTTAGTAAGGCAAGTGTTCCTCAAATTAATGTGGTACAAAACTGCTTTTTTAGCTGTTTGTCAGCCATCCTGCAGAATAAAACTCATTTCAAACTACTATTGTTTTGGTTTCATTACACATATGAGGATGAATTGTCATAATATTGTATAGAACCATTTTAGGACGTTTTTTCAAATTGTTCCAGCTGCATTCAGGAATTTTCATTGCTGTTGCACTACATTTGTCCTCTTTGGTCTTCTGCCTGGCTTAAAAAAAAAGTTAAAATTATTCCTAATCCACCCTAAGAGTTTGAAATCTAGCTGTATTCTGATCAATAATCCATCTCCACTCAAGTATATTAATTTTTTCAAAACTACTGACATCTTTGGAAAGGAAAATATAAGAACAATATGGGATGCTGATTCTGACTGAGTAATTTAATTATGTGCTTAAATTTAAATATATAGTCATCAGTCATTCATATGCCTAACAAGGATTTAACAGCTTCATTTTGTCAGATGTATTTCTGGACCTCCTCTTGTTGCTAAGGAGATTATCACACATTTGAAAAATTTGGGTTTATTTACCCATACATGCATAAATAAAGCTGCAACTTTTGGATTGTAGGGCGTAACTGCCATCTACATTTGTAAACTAAAAATAGCAATTCAATACCTGGCATGGTAGGTTAATAAACTTCATTATCAAATATGGCTTAGTTTCACAGTCTTTTATTATCCAGGGATGTTTCTAAAATTGACAGAGGTTACTTCCTACGTGTGTTAAACATAAACTGAAGAATATACAAGAGAGGGATGCCAGTACAAGAGAAGGATCCCAATACAAGAGAGACATGGAGCTACTGGAAAGATTCCAAAGATGATGAAGGGACTGAAGCATTTCTCCTATAAGGAAACACTGAGGGTGCTGGGACTGTTTAGCCCCGAGAAGTGAAGGTTCAGCGGGGAACTCGTCAATGTATATAAATACCTGGAGGGAGGGTATAAAGAAGACGGAGCCAGGCTCCTTTCTCTGGTGCCCTGTGACCAGATGAGAGGCAACGGGCACAAAACGAAACATGGGAGGTTCCCTCTGAACATCTGGAGACACTTTTTTACTGTAAGGGTGACTGAGCACTGGCACAAGTTGCCCAGAGAGGTTGTAGAGTTTCCATCCTTGGAGATATTCAAAAGTTATCTGGGCATGGTCCTGAGCATCAGGCTCTAGGTGGCCCTGCTTGAGCAGGGGCTTGGCCCAGATGACCTCCAGAGGTCCCTTCCAACCTCAGCCTTGCTGTGATTATTTGAATGTGTGCATCTCTAAGAGTGGAAGTTGATAACCGACTGTATATGACAATAAAAACAAATAGTACAGATGCTGCACTAGCAGAATTCTTGAATAAATCGAGCATTCTGAAAAATAACCTCTATGGATCAATTTCAAGCTGATGGCTATAATAACCTGTGAAACAGATACAGAATGTACATTTATTAAATCCCATAATTTAGACAAATGACCATCCTCATCTGGACCTCAGGCTATTTAAGAAATGCAATCTATGAATTAATTTTATAATCAGTACATTGAGTTTGGAACTTTGGTCCTATTTGCATAATTCTGTGTAGTACTTTGGCTCTGTAAGTATATCTGAAAATCTCAGGGAGTTTTATCAATTACCTCAGTAGGATTTGATACAGTAATTGGAACACAAAAGCAAATAGTGCAGAAACGCTTTATTTGGTACTGCACTTACCCTCACAATCCAAGAAGGCAACTCTACAGTGAGAACTCATATCATAAAAGGATTTTGTTATTCATTATTATAAAGTATGTTTCAGAATGTTTTATATTGTATTACTGTCATTATATCCTATAGTGAATTATCATATATAATTAAAGCTGATTCTCTCTGATCACTAAGCAGATTAGAAGGCTCAATTGTTTTAATATATCTATAAATTTAGTTGATGACTGACTATGTCCCCAGATATTTTTTAGACAGAATTCCATATCACAGAATTCCCCAAAATAAGGAAAGAAACATTTACTCACAGCATAAATGTCGTACAATTCTGGTGCATTCAGGTCCCATTCATTGACATGAGATCCTATTTGTACTCCAGGAAATCCAAGTTCATTTACACAACGATGCATTTCCTTCACAGCCAGGTCTGGAGCTTGCAAAGGTAATGTACCCAAGCCAATAAACCTCTTGGGGTACTTTTTTACTGTAGCAGCTAAGTCATTATTTAATATCTGGGCTAGATCTAAGGTATCCTGAGGTTTGGCCTGGTAAGATAATAAGTTGAATAGTACATTAAAATATAGTTCTCAAATGTTATCACCTCTGGAAGATATTGGATAAATGTCACTGCAAACAATTCAGATACAGTGTTTGAATCTAAAATTTATAGTTCTGAATAGCTGGAAACCAGTAGGGCTAAATTCTGCCGTGCTTAAAAACCTCTGGGTGAAATTCTGCGTCTTGTCTTGAATATTTTATCAAGTGTGGTTGCCTTTACTGCTCGGATGAGTGTAATAAAGCCCAGGTTGCCGATGCACTGAAGTATCTGGTCTTTTGTGTAAACCAGTCCTCTGTTTTTGTTTATCCCAATGCAAAAACCTCAGCATGTAATTTTTAAACATAGCAATGAATATTTAATCTTTTATTATTGGAATTGATATAAAAATAAGAAATGTGAGATGCTGGAGCATGAGAATTCTACAGGGAAAACTTGAGCAAACCTCTCTAACATTTAGAAGGAGATAACAATTGTAATTCTAATAAAGGAACAGCAATATCCATACAATCAATTTCCCATTTTCCTCCCTAATACATATTTCATGAAAAATAGTCCCATAAATACCAGAATAAAATGTTAAAGATATGTCACCCAACAAGAAATTCTGAAGATCAGACCATTTATATGTGGGCTTAAAACAATGGTTTTTAAGGTAGCATATCTGTTTACATATTACAACTCAACTTCCAACACATAGCTAAATAGTCAAATTAAGAATGCATTTAGAACAGCATTTTGCAATGATTTATCTTCTCAGACTGTTTTTATTTCTTTGATACATTCAAGATCACCATGCAGAGACCATGTTAATTTAAATTTGCAACTGAATTTTAAGATTCAAAGCATTCTAGGTCAATGAGTCCCATGCCACATTTAAAAGAAAAGTGGGACAAGACCACAAATCTATCTTTTACTTCTTTTTTTTTCATGAGAAAATACTGATGTCTAGCTTTTGTGGAATCTGTACGTATATGCCTACCTGCTATCCATGGACTCATGCTGTGGAAATTCTCTCTCCCTGTTTTCAGCTACCCATATAAGGTCCCCAAAAGAAATTCTATTATTGTCTTATTCTTTCTTACTGAGTGTACTCCAGACTGAAGCTTTGCCAGGACACCCTGATGGCTCTTCTCATATCTGGACTATTTTTTTATCTTTTTTTTTTTTTTTTCAGCAGAACAATTTCACATTTACCTCAGTGCTCTAGTGACTACTTCAACCACCTAATTTATAGGAGGATTCACTTATTTTAAAAATAAATTTAATAGTTTTGTAATATATGAATTATAAAATATGCCAGTAGGAACCTACCCAGTAGTTGAACATTACAGGAACTGTGGAAAGAACTTGGACTGTGACTCCTGGGTAAAAAAAAGCAGTTATCAGTGTTTCATTTTTTTGATAAAATGTTAAAAATAAGAAAATACTTTGGTTTGAAAGGTAGAACATAAAAGCATTAATGATAAGAAAGACTGATTTAACAGTGACATGGGTAGAATCTTTTCTAATTAAGGACCTTGGTAGTAAATCTTGCAGTGTATGAGTTTATTAGGACTGGAATATTTTTGCTAAGTAGGAAGAAAAATAACACTTCATATTCGAACTAGATTATTTGTGAAACTAAGTATTTTGATTTTAGAATTATATGGCATGCACGTGTACAAGTAATTAAAATAGCAATTTAATGTTAATCTCACATAAATGAATGTGATGTTAAAATAACAGAATACAGTATCTTAAGTTTACTTTGGGGTTACATTTTTCATATATATTTAATAAAGATGTAAATTAGCTCAAATATAAACAACATTATGTTAGCAATGGTTGTTAAACAATGTTTTCCTCCTAAGTGTTCCCCTAAGCTATATTGTGTTAGGTTTCATTCATCTCGTGTCTGGACTACTGAGGTTGTAAGTATAAGAAAATCTGTCTGTTTTTAGAAATAACTTTGACATTAGCAATAAAGAGAATTAAGTCAATGCTGTTTAATTTCTGTTCAAACACCAATCTATACCATGACTTTGTGTGTGATAGGCTACAGGAATGAACACAACACACCTAGCAGATTAATAACATAAGAAAGAATAAACAATAATTAAGACTTCGCTAAATAGTTACATGTAAAACTGTATTTTAAAAATAATTTTAGGTCTGATTGTAATATCTATGCACATATTTTGTCATGCTTTAAACAATGTAACTTGGTTATTAATGGTGAAACTACTAATGCAAAAGATGGCAGAAAAAACCCTAGGAGAATTTCTTCTAAGACAAAGACCTTGCCAAAGCACTCAAACGTTTAACAATATGATTTATTCTCCTTCTCAGTTTTAAGTAGGAAACGAGGGGAAGCTGACTCAGGCATCTCTCTTACAAGATCTGATTAATATTACGTACAGCAGCAATGGTTTGCTGTTAAGGATTATGTCTACAAAATTATATATATACTGGAGTACAGCCTAAGTTGTCCTATCCACCAATATGCTACCAGACTCTTGATTAGTTTGTTTGACAACATTCACCATGTTTTCCACAATAAGCATTGTATCTGGTTTCAATCCATTTTTACACTTCTGAGCAAATTTAACATAAACCTTAAAGGTAGATTTCCAAGCTGAACATTCCTAGCCACTAGCTTTAGGAAGAAGAATCAGAACAGAAAAACCTCTATACCCTGTTCAGAGATTTTTACAAAGCAGAAAATAATAAGAAAAAGCAGTTAGGAATAACTGAAATATTTTCTCCAATAAAATTGTGATTATTTGTGTCACAGAACTGTAATGTTAATTAACTTTACTGCTTGTTTTATTGAATTACCTTGATAAATTGTTTTACTGAGTGGATCAAGACACAGGTTTGCATACCAAATAGACCTAGGACATACAATTGTGAGAACTAATTTAGTCTCTTTGGTACACTGGCTACCATTTCTTATTACTGGCAAGGTTTTTTGGGCATTGCACAAACAAAGCCTTTTAGCCACCAAGCTGTAAGTTATCCCTCTGAGTTAATAATACCTTACAGTGACTGATACTTGTTTTGTTCAGCTGGGAGACCTCTCACATCTTTGTTCCACAATTATGCCATGTTTGGAGGTTAAATTTTTGGGTATGATCTATTGTGGCCTGTGTCACAAAAAATGGTCTCTCAACTAAGTAGCTACACCTTTTCAAACTGAAAAAGAGTACATGTAGCCTGCAGTCTTTATCATTAGGTGAACAGTAAGGATGAAAACCACTAAGACCATTTTTTTACACTTAATTGGCTGATGCCCATATCTTTGGACTGCGGTAATAAAAGGGGATATTTGTATGGCACAAGTCACCAGATGGTGCTGTAACACACCATTTTAGATTTTATTTATTTTTAACCAAGTGAGTACTGTTTAGTTGGTGGAGAAATATTGTGATGTTGGTTTTATGATACGTTTTCTATTCTGGAAAGCTGTTGCAAAAATTTGAAAAAAAATACTTCTGTGTTTTCCCTTTGCCTACAGCAAATAGATGGGGCAGAATTGTTTTGTAGAAACTTGCTATTAGTATTGAAGGAAATATCTGAAGGGGGAAGATGTATGTCCAAAGGCTATTTATGATCCACACTGTGGTTGAATGACGTGGTAATCCCCAAAATCCCTGAGCTACCTCTGGGACTGATTAGTCTAGTCAAGGCAGCATATTCCAGAAAGGTTGCAAAGACATTCTAGCATTCCCGTTAAATGTCTAGTGGTTGGAGTTTCAAATACTGCTTCTTCAGGCTGAAAATTACCTAAATTGTGTTTACATAAATTGCCTGACAGCCCTTGAGTTCCCAAATCAGCCTATATTATGTGTTGCAGTAAATGACCATAGGGAGAATGACCCAAAGTATCTCTTAACATGCTATCCCATGAGAGAAGGAAACAAAATCGTAAAGATTCCACTTTTTATACCTGCTCTTTGAAGTAATTCGGATGTTTATTCCTTATGAAAAGTTGGAGAAGATATTCAAGTTGTGTTTACTAAGAAACTGATCAAGGGAATTATTAGGACTCATGAAAAAATAATCTTTAGTAACACAATAGTTCTCAAAAGTAATTTGGAATTATGGTGTTAACAAGAACTAACAAAAAGAATTAATCAGACTAAAAGTTCCTTCTCTCATCCTCAGTCTCCCACTTTACAAACCTTATTTAGTGGCATCTAAGTGACTTGCTGGAAAATAAATCTGCAAATTTGGCATCTGGCCAAGTTTCTTTCTAAATCAGGAAAACTCTCTTTTCCGAGAAAGTAATTGTACCAGTTCTCTATGTTCAGAGTCCTCTAACAAAAATACAGAATGAAGTTGCAACATCTAAGCAGAAAAAAATATTAGAAAAGGAAACAAACATACATAAAAATCCAATGAGTAAACAGAATCTTTATAAGATTTGGAACAAAAATGAATGGGTTTCCTCTTTTACGTAAATAATTTCTAAATCTGGAATGTATATTGCTTTTTCAAGTCCAGAGTCAGACATCCTTCCTTATGTCAATTAGTTCCTTACTGCCTTAAAAATTCCATCAAAATTAATGAGCCTATGTGGGGAATAAATTGCTACTTAAAATGAGGAAAGTTATGGGAACATGTCCCATTTGAGTCTGAGCAAAAAACATCAGTTTTCACTGACTTTCACCAGATTTAAACTAATGAATCAGTACTCTAAACCCTTTAATTTTGATATTATTATTGAGCCCTCTCTGATGCACTAACAGAGAGGTTGCTGTTATTCTAAATGAGACACAATGATTTAAATTCCTTTATGGAGGTACCTGATAGGTCCATCTCTTTAATCCGTACTTCTGGATCCCAGCAGTTCTCTTGAATAACTCTAAAAACCTTTCCATCCTTCATCATCTTTGCCTGTCCCTGTGAAATTACATTTTCATATATTATAAATATGACAAAGTAGTACATGCTAATTTATAGTCACTTGAGTATATTGTGCTTCCTATAGAAATTCAGTGACAGAATTTTGTTCTTTTATTTTTATTCAGTAGGTATTTTTAATCAAAGACAACTTAAAATAGTCATTAATAAAACAGTCATCATTCAGATTTAATTCTTCATAATTAAAAAAATCTCCTTTTTTTTTGCAATTTACATCACTCTACATTTGCTTTGAAAAGTTATCAGGTACCTTAATCCAAGTTTATCCTCAAATCAAATTGTGATCTCAAAACAATGCTCTAATTAAATATGTGCTAAATTTTCCCCTTGGGTATGTGTGTGTTCTTTTAAAGTCAGTAGCATCACAATAATTCCAGTAACTACAGAAATAATTGTACAACTCTGTTAATTTCAGTACAGTTGCTTCATATCACCAATGATACTGAGACAAAAGGGGACTTATTATGTTGCCTTCAGATTACATTTTCTCCTTGGGAAAAAAAAGAATTATTGAAGAATTTGTACTTAGGAAAAAAAACCCCAAACACAACCTAAACGCAGTGTAAAACCATTACCTGAATTAGTGTAATACCTTCCCCATATGCCACCAATTTCCAAACTTACAAAGTTCAAAATGTTATCAAGGCCATGAAATTGAATAGTGTTCCTTTAACTATGAACATGGAAACTTCCTTTTTAAACTTAATTTTTGGTTGATTTGACAATTGTCTAAAGAGATTGACTGGCAGTGTTGTCACATTAAGCAAAGTAAATTGTCTGTTACAGTTGTAGGTATCCACATGCTTCAATGGACTTGTAAAGACAGACAAAACAGTCTTTCTGTTGGCTTACACCTGCACAAATTAATGAGATACAATTCACCAATACTTGCAAGGCCTGAGTATTCCTTGGTTGCTTGAAGCTACTTTAGGGATAAATGGAAATGGGTGAAAGTCAGAAGATCCACACGACCCTGTGTATTTGGGATTGGTAAGCGCAGTCATGCAGCAGATGTGCTGGACAGAGAACACACTGCATCTGCAGTTGAAAACTGAAAAACACATGAGAAAACACAGCAGCTATTCCTTCACCTTCACAGTAAACAGAAGCTAAGTGCAGGGCAGTCTTCTGACCCTTCTGGAAAGGGAATTGTCTGTCTCCAAAGGCGTCTATTTTCTTTCACAAAACTGGTGTGTTTAGGATCCTGCCTATTTTTTCTAAATAAAAAACCTGTTAAATCGGAATAGTCACCATTAGTATGCTAAAACTGAAACAACCAATAAAATTTCACTACTTCTAACAGACGTGTGTTTCTGTCCCCTCCTGAGAAATCAGACTGTTCTTAACCTTGGATTTGTTATTAACTTCATACATCATTCACAAATATAGTGCCCTAGTGAATATTTTAAAGCTCTTCAACAAATCTAACTATGCTGCCTTGGCAAACTGTCAAGTTACTTGTTATCTGTATCACAGGTTGTGAAAATTACTTGAAATATTACAGTCAGTAATAACTACATAGTCCTGGTCCTCTGGTAAAATACTTCAGGTTTCTGTAAAATTGATTTTCTAACCGGACAGAAAGGGTTACTCTAGCCATACACTCCAATACATTAAAAAAAAAAAAGATCAGCACATTGCTGCAGATTGCCTAATAAACAGAAAAATACTTGGGGTGTGAATAGAGAAAAAGATGGAGTAGAACTGGGCATTGCATCTCAGATTAATAGATTGTGTGAATTTTACTGGATTACCACTGCGAGTATTTCTGTGAACACAGGTGACAATTCTTTCCTCAGACACAGCTAAGGCATAGCAGCTGACCTGCTCATACATATTTTCTTCTGCTAATACTGAAAACAATATTAGATAGATTGTAATTTTACTAGCAACTTTGACAGTGCTCATACTTAAATGCAGAGATAAACCTGCAACAGGGTTTGAAATATAGGAAAGATTTCTAATAAGCCATGTGCTGTTCTCATTGAAGAATTAGTTGAACAGTTTGCTATTTTCATTTGCATTTACTGATTCTTTGTGAACATGCTACAGGTCAAGGCTGAGCTCTCAGCATTGTATGTTGGCAACACTAAACTTGATTATGCAGAAAAGCAAAACACAATCATCTGAATAGATTCCTGTTTGTGTGTGTAAGGATAGAAATATCTGGTCCAGTAACACTGTGACTGGCAAGTGAGTCATATTGTTTTAGTCTCCAAACACTGCCACTAATCTGCACCTGATATTTTTTAAATGAGAAATTACTCAGACACCTCAACTGGGAAACAATTCTCAGAGTTTTTTTCAGTAGTAAGAATAAAACATGGATCAGGAAAAAATTTTCAGGTTCCAAAGCAATGGATGCAGTGCTGAAAATATCATAAAAGACATGAGATTTTTACTTGCAAGGTTAACACAATTTTCTAAGGGCACAGCTGAAGAATTCTATCATTCTATTCAATTCTATTCTAAAGATTATCTGATATTTAAAGCTGTAATTCATTTATGTGGATATTAAGAGAGAGACATTTAAGAAGTAAGTCCAGCAGGCTGAGTTGGCTCAGCAAGCTACATTTAAAATTATCCCATCTCTAAACTACTCAGTCACATCCCAAATTACACTTCTTTAAAAATGCATGTAATTATTTTCTTCCAGTTTGACCCTGATGCTTCTTCACAGAATGATATGAGAAGTTTTGGCTTTTTTTTTAATCTTAAGAGTTAACTTTCCCAGCTCTACATATCTTAACAGGATTTTATTTTGCCATGTACTTTTTCCATGCGACATTTTCAGACAGAAGTAGGCTAGACAGAATTCTCTGCAGAGTGTATAATGCTATTATTGGCTTGCCACAAAGTTCCTTTGCAACCTATTTTTAGCAAGGAATTGTAGCATCAGACCTGTAACAAACAGCTAAACTGCTAAAAATACCTCCAACAATTCTCTCCTTCCTGCACCTACCAGGTATCTCAGAAGCTGTGCCATCCACACTTTGGTTCAGCAGGTGGCTTGTTCTCCCCTCCTATGCCTGCTTAGACTTAGATCTGAAATTTCAGCATACTTGTTTGCTCCTCATTCTCAGTCCCAACCTTCATATTCTGTGGTCCTTTTTCATAAATGGTTGTTAGGCATTTGACAGCATAGCCTTGCATGTTATAGAATGACAACAGTGTGTGTATCGTTAGGTTGCAATAAATAGACACAGTGTTGTATCCATTTTATGGGCTTTTTTCAGTTTATATAAACATATACAATCACAAAGAAGCATGATTTTGCAAAGTGACAAGGGGATGAGGGAATGTCTAGTTCCACTGAAATTAACAGACGTTATATATTTAAATATTTTGGTTACCTGGAAGATGCAAAGCTTCTCTAAAAAAAGGAAAAGTTTAATCTCTACAGAGAATGAATGAATTAGCCAAGTCACAAAAAGAAACAATGAAGAAGATTGGGTACTATTTTCTTTATAACGTTATCCAAATAGGGAGAGGCACCATCACCCTGAAAATGCTAAGTGCTAAATCTTTATATCACTTGTCCCTCCAGTTTTCAGTATAGAATTCCTATGTTGAGATGCTGTCTGAATTTCAGAAGACAGAGACTGATTAACCCTTGTAAAACACTGTGCATACAGCCTGCCGTTATATACCATAGCTGGGTTTAGCCAGTTATTTGCACTCTTCACATGCTTTAGGTGGGTTATGTGCTGACACTGTTGAGCTTTTCATGCTCTTAACTTTGCATCTTTTGTCTTGCAGTTTACTATATCCACATTGTTCTTTCTGCTCTTATTGTCTTTGTATTTTTTCCTTCATTATCTGGCTAATACCATGCATTGCTTTTAACACTTCCATATTTGTACAACTCACAACATTCTTATGGTAGGCAACTACAGATGAAGTTTTTCAAGTTAGGAAAGGTACATATGAAGTGAGGTGGAAAGTGAACTGAGGTCTCCTGACATCTCTTTCTAATGCCATCTTCCTAATCTCACTCCTTCCAGAGGCCAATGCCATTTGCAGTGACAGGCTCTCCAAAAGATTTGTAGGAGTGGGGAGCTGACAGGTCACAGGAAGAAGCTGACTTCCTGGGGCAGTGTTTGAGATAGACAGGGGTATCTGGCTGCCAAATTTACTATATGGTAACAGATGTAACATCTTCAAAACAAGCTGGTACAGTTAACCTACATAGTAATGTACAAAGGGAATTATTTTGCCTATCAGCCTTACCTCTCTTAGGTCCTTGTGCTCTCCTGTAAAAAAAAGCACTGATACTGGTAATTTTTTAATGCTCTTTTCAAAAGATAAACTGCAACATTTTGATCTTGCTTTCAGAAGTTTTACAATGTTACTTCACTGGGAATGTCACTGAAATTACTGCCAGTTTGTTCTACACTAAGATCAGAATCAAGTCTTTAAGAAAGCAGTTCTGTCCCCATCAGAATAAATATATGTATTACTTCAGTACCAGCAAGATAGATGCTGAATGTTAGCATAAACTCATGGCACCAGGAGACATGTTGTTGCAATAGTACTAATGTAGCTCAGAAATGCCTTTGCAAAGTTAATAGAGTCGATGGTGATAAAAAGGTGAAGTAAAATCAGACCCAGTCTGCCTTTTACTTGCCAATAAACCTCAGGCTCCTACTTTTTGACATAATCATCCCCAAATCTATAGATTTTCCTTATGGTCCTGCTACTTGTTCTCCTTGTCATGAAATTACAGAAATTACTTTTTCCCTTTCACTCAGATGGGAAGACATTTTCACATCTGAGTTCTTTAACTTTTATTAAAATACCAGTTCCTTTTGGTTGTTTCTTCTCATACGGATGACTGCATTTAACTAAAAAAAAAAAAAATCTACATGTAATCTGCTTTAGGCTGACCTATCTTATTGAAAAGAATTCCTTAGAGATATCCATTCTAAATGTTAAAATGAGATGATGAAAAATGAATACTGGTTCATAGTTGTCATGAATGTGAGTTTATCTGTAAAGCAAAAATTTCTACTGAGGTATATTAGGATTTGGAGTGATATTACTTCATAGAAGATAGACCTCTAGAGAAATCTGTATGAAAGACATAACCAATCTTATTGCCACTTTGCTTTTTAATAGATTTACTGTGGGTTTGTATTCCTGATGACAACACAAGATCAGCTTAGAGCACCAAACAGCCCAAACCTTGCAGTGATGATCCAGCTGTACCCATCCACCATATCCATATCTCTGTGAAAGAAAGAAGAAGAAGACAGTGCTAGTTAGCACTCAGCAATAATAATAAACATCTCAATTCTCACAATCCAGCAGTACCTCATTCAGGAGAAACACATATATATGCTCAGCTTTGAGCCTATGAGTAGTCCCATTGACTTCAGCAGAAGTGCTGAAGTTTAACTGGACTGGAGTAACTGTTTGTAGATCTGAACTTTCAGCTCCCAGTTCAGCAACATTTTTAAGACCTACACCTGATTTAAAATACTTGAAGTTACTTACTAAATTGAAGCTCTAACTTATTTTAACACAGAAAAATTTAAATAAAGCATTTGGCAATATGAAAATTGAGCTGACAATTTTCCAATCTGTGATCAGTTAATCATTAGCACAAAGAAGTATTGATTCCACTTTTCAGCTTCCATGATTCAGCAGCAGGACTGAAGGTCAGACTCTTGTCTATTAATATTTAAACAGCCATGAGAGGCTAAAAAGGAGAAGCTTAGATGCTCATTGATTCTTCCAGTGAGATTCAAAATTGTTTATGCAAAAAACCCCAAACCTAGAAAATATGCTGATTTCCTTTCACTTTCATAAATTATCAGATTAGAAATAAATGAAATCTTGAAATATCATAATAGACTGAAGACAATTCTCAGAATTCCTATTTTTCTGTAAACTAACATTTCAAAGGGACCTGAGTGAAAGCAGGCATTTCTTTCACTGAAGTGTAAACAATCTGAATATAGTCCTGAATTTCTTGTGATTACAAATCATTACACAATGCCACTGGGAGCTTTCCTAACATAGGCATGCAGAACCAAGCCTCCTGACTTCAGCGAATCAGAGATGCTAATGACTGAGGTAGCTGTGTAAATTTTATTAAATGTATAGGTGTGTGTATATATATATATTTAATTTTAGGGAAAATTTTGTGAGTGACAACTAATGAGAACTTCAAGTTTTCACTAGCTCCATGCTAACTGCAATTGTAACCTGTGCAGAAAATGAGTACCTTAAAGGTACTCAAGGTGCATTTAGGCAAGAGAAAAACACTGTTTTTGAATTTATTTTCTTTCTTCCCCTCAGTTACTAGCTGGAGGTACTGACAGTCTTTATTTCATTTATTTCTATGATTTTTTTATACTTATTGCAGGTTCCTAAGCTCTTAAATAAGTATCCTGACAATAGATTTTTCTAGGTTCAAGGTTTCATACTTATAAGGCTGGAAAAAAGACAGCAAAGTTTAGCACTATTTGTGCATGTTAGGGTTGCCTCATTGGTTTTCCATGTGTGAGATATAGAGAACTATGTTAATGGCTTGAATTTTCAGAGGACTCTAGGGAATTCTAAGAGTTGTCTTCTATTCTGGGCCCATTAATAAACCATTGAATCACTTGATCTTTAGAACAGAGGAAACAAAAACTAGCGGGTGGAAATTAACTTCTGAAAATTTGGTATTTGCCTCTTTATCAGTGTTTAAATTAATACAACACTGGCCTACAGGGTCTAACAGTACTGAATTCACACATGATGTACATCCATGAACATCAAGGGATTCTTGGAGTGATTTTATCTCCATGAATTTATTGCCCTTTTAAAGTATAAACAGACAAAGAAAATATTTTAAAATCCTGTAAAATCAGAATGAAGGAATTTTATAGGTGTTTTTACAGGGATGTTGCACAAACAAGGACAAAAAAAATCTGAAACAAGCAAGAATAACCTGTCTTTGTAGTCTGGTTATTTAAACTCCTATCCATTTAAAACAGACATAATTGTTCTAAAAAATATCTGTCATCTCACCTACATTATCCAGTATATATGTGTTTTGCATTGAGGACCTCTTATTATTACAAATAGGAAGTTCAAACGGATGTTTAGAAAGACCTTCCTAGGTAAACGAGGAAACAAACCTTCCTTTCCAGGAGGCATAATGATGTTATTTTTCACTACTAATAAAGAAATAATCCTATGTATGTTCTTAATGCCAGATTTTCTCATTACTTTTTCCTCATATGCTGTTTACATTTTCCAGCTGCTCTCTGGCTATTCTTGAACTGGTACTGAACCATCTTGTTTAAAATCACAGCAACACAGAGCTAATACATATGAAACATTTATCTGAGAATTTGCCATCATCGACCTCAAAATAATTAAGTGAAAGAGATGTACAGTGTAAAACAGAGCTTCAGTTAGTGTGTCAGATGCCTAAAAACATGGCTGAAATAATGGTATTCTTTTGTTGTCAAAGACAAGCACAATGAAATAAAATGGTTCCATACTACTGTCAGACACAGGGAACATTCATTCAAACCACAACCAACACAGAATTACAATAAAGAAAGAGGAAACAATACAGGTCTTCTCTTTTCTTTTCTGATTTTTTATCATGAATGGAAACATTAAAGAGTTATAAAAAACAGTTACCCTGGAAATCAGAATGTAATTTTTAATTGTAAATAATTTAATATATTTATGTGTATAAACTATACATAAACATAGTTTCATGTGATCTTTTTCAGTACCCTTTGTAGCATTGGAGATGTGATCTCTTATGAGTCCAAAAGTAATCAGGTATCTCTATATTGAATTGTGATTTTAATTATTTAGGTAAGAAATCTAAAACCTAATTCAGAATGAGATGACTACCTGGATTTTGGTAATCTGAAATAAGAAAAATATTAGATTTATTACATGGAAACTAAAATGCCACTTCCCATTCCCAAATACTTTTCACAAGACCATGAAAATCATTACTAACAAGAATAAATTTGTGTCATTGAAGAACAATAATAATACCACACAAAGATTCAAAGTTAAGACAAATTGACTTATAGCTTCAGTGTTCTGATAACTGAGGTTTTGTATTTTCAATACAGTATGCTACTTCTTTCCAGTAACTGAAAAAATAACATATATTAGTAAAATGATCATCATCATCAATTAATTGTACTTCGAGTGCCCCCACTCCTGTTGAAGTTAATGGCTTTCATGCCTGTGGTATATGATGTGAATGACTTTTCTCTTAGGTAACATTAATCTTGTCTAATATTTGCTTATTCCTCTTCTTTAGAACAAAAGTGAATACCATTTGGGAACCTGACAGCTCTGGTTTTATCAAGACAGTGGAATTTACACCTCATCATTTGACAATTTTAGGTCTCACAAAAAAACAAGCAAAAATATAGGAATAGCTTCAGACTAAATAAAGAGTGAGAAGCAGAGCCCGGTTTTCCATCCCTTTCTTACTGTGACTCTTGCTTTGCAAAGTAATGCAATACAAATATATCTGAAAAAATAAAATTAGACAAAAACCTAGAGGTATATATATCAGAACCTTTCATTCATTGTTCTTTCAAAAATTACATTGGTAGAAATGGTTGCTAATAACATAAGGCACTGAATAGCTAAACCCTTATTACCTTTTTTAGGTCAGGCCATTCCTTAGGTAGAATGTGGCTATGAATATCAATTTTCATTTGTGAAGTATCAAAGGAGAAATACTCCTTCAATGAAAATGTTTCTGAGTAATTGCTACTATCCTTCCTGTCCCTGGTTCAGCAGGTTATTAACTTTGGCTGCTGTTCAGATCCACCTGCTGTCTTATCAGGAGAGCTCCGTATAGTGGCCAACCAGGGATCCCAAATCCCAGAGGAGTGTCTCTCTGAAAAAACAAAGAACTGTAGCAGAATGTCTCTGTTAATGCATAAACTACAGCTGACTGAGGGCAAAGAGAAAACGTATGTTTATATTGGCACTATGAAGGGATTTAGTTTACACAGGATCTAAAATGCAAGCTTGTTTACAGCTGAAAATAATTTGATAAAATTGAATTAGAATAAATGTATTAAACATACTGACTTGAATTTCCTTCTTTTTCCCTCTTAGATTCTGCAATAATTTGTAGAAGGCATATAATATACCCTTGGTAGACAGTCATACCTCCTCATCTACTCTCTCTTCCTTCCCTTGCATTTTGCCAAATCTATGCTCTGCACTTCATTTCCCCTTCTCATTATTAGTTCACTTAGGATATTTACACGTTACTGCATACTGGTCCTTACAGCCTCTCAAACTGACTGAAGATCTGGCAGGAGAATGGCTCAGATTATCTTAGTAATTAATGCTAGTGTAGTTCACCAGCTAATATGGCAAACAGTTCCTGCATCCTACGTTAAGCTTAACTGGAACTAGCTCAGATTTTAGGTGAAACTACATGTTTTGTCCTTTACTCAATTTAGCATTACACTTGTTTCCTCACGATACTCTTGTCTTTTATTTGTGCTGTATTTTTCTCTGCAGTTTATTTCCTCTATAGTTTTTTTTTCAATGTATGCTACCCACATGGTGTCTTCTTGCAAAAGCTGGTTAACCATTTCTTGATTAATTTGTTTCTAGTGAAAAATGTTGGGTTTTTTTTTTCAAAACTAAATGCTGTTGTGAATCTTGCAATTTGAAATCAAGCAACCTGAAAAACAAGTGGCCCATTTTATTTCATCCTTATTCTGACTTTGTTATTTTGCTTGGACTTGATAAAAAAAAAAAATTGGACTCTTGTATTTCCCTGGTTGTTCACACATTAAGCAAGTCTGCTTCTGATTTGGTCAGTTAACCTTAGAGTTATTCTTTGAGCCAACTCCTTGTGACAGGGTTGGTTGTTTGCTGGATGCTGTGCTTCTCTGCAACGTGAGATCACTGAAGACTGAATGTTCAAAAGAAATAGGAAGCAACAGCTTTGGGAGAGTATTCCCTAAATAAAGCAGAAAAAACAATAATTCACTTTAACAGATCAAAATCATGGGATTGAAAATAGCAATTATTTCCATCTCAAAATCAAAACCAATCTTTTCATGACCAGGCTGCCAGGTTAAGCAGCAAATTTGCTGTCTTGCTCCTAAATGTGACAGCTACATTATATGATCTGGCACTACGGTGTTAGCCTGTTGGCGAGCAATGTTCCTGCATATACCACAGCAGAGATAAGAAGCATTGATTGAGCTGTGGAAACTCTG